CTGGTTGCTGCCGCCGCCGCCATTGCCACTGCTCGATATTGTGGTGGTGGCTCGTGGGCTGCCGTACGAAACTGGGGCACTGTTTATTACAGCACGTGGGCTTCCCCCAAATGGATGGCTGGTGGTTCCACTGGTTCCAGCGCGTGGGCTGCCGTAGAAAATCTGGGCACTGCTTATTGCAGCACGTGGGCTTCCACAGAAAGGATGGGCGGTGGTGCCACTGGTTCCAGCTCGTGGGCTTGCGTATGGAGGCCGTTGGCTGGCGGTGTTCATCCAGATATCCTATGGAGGATTCAATAAAAAAAGATTTTGCATTCTGTTAGACCGTTTCACGAGTGAAAAGGTGGATTCTTAGTAACGAAGAATTGATACTTCTTACTCTTTGAGGCTGGTAAAAGTTGGTACCCATATGGGAGGAGACCATCCAGCTTTCGGTCTGTGGAGAAGAATGGTTCACTGTCTGTGACTGGGGGTATGAACCGAGCAAACCTCGAGGATGGCTGCCTCCGGTATTGTTCAGCCAGGAAGCAGGCCTGCCACCAACCCAGCCATCGTAGCTTTTTCTAAGATTGACAAATTGTGACGAGGAGCTATCTTGTCCCATGAAGTAGTATGAACTGTGATGTTCCTCTCTGCAGAAAGTCGGGGCCGGAGCCCATTGTCCTTTGGAAGGAGAGTTTGTTCCGAAGTTTTGATAGCTCTGCAAAGTGCAAGAGGATTGAGAATAGGAGTGACCCATGTCAGGGATGTTTCTTAAAGGAGAATATCTGCCCGGTAGTGATTGTTTCTGGTACGGAATCCCGGGGTATGGCTGCATACTCCAGTCTTCGATCGTGATTCCCTGTTTTGCAGCGAGCTCAAATATGTGTTTCTCCTCAACTCCCAAACCCATAAGCAGATTCCAAAGGTTCCTCTGTGCTTCCCGTTGGTTGTATATGATTTGATCTCTCATCGCCATTTCGAACTGTAGTTCTATATTAGCCATCCCCTACATTCATAAAATAGCCAACAGATGTCATAATACACGCAAGCACGTTATGTAAAAAAAAAATCCAGCCTGCTTCTATGTTCCACTCACCAGGAGCTTGTACTGATTAAGAATATGCAGGTAAGTCTTGTTTCCATTGTTATTAATTGCTTCGTTTAGCATATCTTGGATTTCACAACGATGCTTTTCATTTTCTTCGATTTCCTGAGAAAATGGAAAATATTACTACATCCAGTGACATGCGAAGATTAATCGCCAAACTTAAAACATATAGACAAAGGGGATTACTGTCTGGTAGTTGACACCAGCTTCATCATTGTCACGGATGTTATCAAGTATCACTTGTCGCCTGGTTCTTAGAGCTTCAACTATAGCTTGTTCTTTTTCTGTAACCTGTGAAACAGAGAAGAAACATTTAGTATCGAAAATTATCAAGATAATGAGATGAGGAAATCTGACACTGGATGCTCCACAAAACCTGTTTCACAATGGCATCATCAAGATGCTGAAGTTCAGTTCGGTTTCGGAGATTAGTTTCCTCAAGCTCGAACAGTGCCTTCTGCAAGTTTATGCGATCTTGGACATTTTCGCTGATCTGATGGCTTAAAGCATCCAGCCAAGAAACCTCACCATCAACACTTCTTTCGAAAGGTTTGATGCTTAGCTGAGACTCCTTTTCAGCTAATTGCTTTTTCAGCTGACAAACCTCACTCTGTTCAACCAAAGCTCTGTTGCGTTATGAACTGTTACAATCTTGAACGTGTAATGAAGCACGAATGAAAGTGATTAAACTCACTTGAAGACTGTCGATCATCCGTTGGTAATCTGAGACATGAGTGTCTATGGTACCAATATTTTTCTAAAAAGCATGAAAGGAAAACGTAGTAAGTACTTCTGAATCAATGTCATAAAGGGTGTTGCTATATGGTCTAAAGGATTAATCAGATAATTTTTTTCCCAACCTGAATGTGTGTCTTTATCTCCTTAGCTCGGTCAGCATATTTCAATGTATTCACGGTATGGTGATACTGACTATCTGCAGGTGATATGGTTGCAATCATCACCGTCTGGGAATTTCCACTCAGACCATCTTTAAGAATCCGCGTTAGTTTGCTGAAATGATTCATGACTGTAAGCCACATAAGAAAGAAATTTCAGCCCAAAGTGATAAGATGTACAATCTCTCGTACCTATTACGGTATGGAACATAAGCAAGACCCTTCTTGTGTTGCTTCCCCAAAGCATTGATGCAATTTGCTAGTGCGAGGAGTGAGCGATTAATATTAGCTCCATCCCTAAGTTTTTGACCACCATTGTTTGTCTCAGACGCTCTTTCACTACCAGCAAGGTCTACAAGGGCAAGTTTTCCCTTCATGACTTGATTTTGATTCTTTGGCCTTCTTTTCACTGTAATCTCCAGAACAGCGTGCGATCTGATAATAAGAGGCAAATTCATATGAGGTATATGGGCTTGTAACGATTTGTATTCCGGAAATAGATTGTGGCTAGGCTACCGAATCTAATGTGTTCAGAAAAAAAAGAGGCCCCTGACAACAACAGTGTTAAAGGTAGCATCTCTCACCGTGATGATGTTCCATTCATCTCTGTGCTCTCAGTTTTTCGTCTACTGTTACCTAAATTCAGCAGCTCAAGAATCCGATCAGTAGAGTGTACCTGTGAAAAAAAAAACAATATAAACTAAGAAGCCCAGGGGATGCGAAAAATAATTATAAACTTTTACTCAAATGATTTTCCCTAACGTATCCATCCTGGAACACATATAAAAGCCAGTTTGTTTTGTTTTTGCTCTTCCTTCTGGGTAGAAAACTCTAATAGAATCACCAATGCTTAGAAACAGGAAAGCAGAGGAAAACTTTAATAAAGATATACAACATTAGTCCCAGCAGTGTATATGCGTCCCAACAGATTCTGAGGAAATTTTATAACCAATCTTCCAACATCGGGAAAAATAAGGTTTGAGAACAATAAGCAATTCTATATGAGGAGAAGGATGAACCTTGATTGATCGCAGGCCTGAAACTACTATACCCTGCTCCGGATCTTCTCTGAGCTCTAAATGACCAGATGATTTCTCAAGCAGATCATAGATAACCTGAATGACAACAGGAAGGAGATGTATCAGATAAAAAAATTGCAGCATCATTGTATCCATAAGAATCCAATTCCAGAAGATGATCCTCTTAATCAAGCGGAGTCACAGTCATACTTCATTGTAGACTTCAAGGTATGAACAAGTTACTTCAAATTCGTTGGAGCTCTTGTCACTCTTAATCAGATCAAATATGGTGTTCAAGCTGAGAACCATCAATCCAGGATCGTTCTGAGTACCAACCATTGTATACGTCTTACCGCTAAAAAAACCAAAAAGACCTGCTTAATGATAATCACCATAACAATGGTATCGAATAAACAAAAAATGGCTATGCTTGCATCATTTTTTCCATGAACGACCTCACTACAAACCTTCCTGTCGAACCATAGGCAAACACTGTAGCATTGAGACCATGGACAACCCCCGAGATTACAGAAGATATACTTCTATATACATCCTGTATATCAAGGCAGTTATACTCATTTCATTTCTGTAAACCCAAAAACACAAAATCTTAATCCACAAGTAAAATATGAACACACACACTAAGAACTTAATCAAGAAGTTGCATACACATTAAGAACCTTCACAATTCAAGGAATGTACACGATATGACATCAAGAAAACACATGCCTTATTCATGCTCTTAGGGCCAAATGCATGATCAAAACAATACTTCTTCTCTTTGGTTCGATTCTGAATGCGGTCAAGGTAATCCTTCGATAGATCGGGATCCAACACAATCACCTCCTGAAATCAAGGGATACAATTAGGGCAAAGGTTTCAAAACCGAGCAACCAAAACCAGAATCCAGAAATCTAAAAAAAGAAACACACCTTGGAGTCGTTCACTCGAACAATGTCTCTGCCACGCTCTTTCTCCATCAACGGCCTGCATTTCACAGCAACCTACAAGACGAAGAATTCAAGCGGGTCCGTGAAATTCAGAGAAACGAGCTCGAAATTTCTACGGGAAGAGCGAGAGCTTACAGTGAGCGTGGTGGTCTTCTTCGCAGCTGGAGCTCTGATACTTGGCATTTCTGTCGGTACAGAGCATGAATCCGAAGAAATCCCGAAGCAAGATTTTTCCTGGGAACAAATGCAGAGATTTTCTCGGAAACCAAACAGGGTCGAGCCTCCAACAAAAATTTTGAAATTCCGTTGATACAAAGAATACGAAAGGAAGAAGAAAACAACAACAAATGAAATCAGAACAAAAGGCGAAAAAGAAGAAAATTTCAGCTCTGCCCAAAATAAATGAAAAAAAAAATCAAACGGTTTATCGTTCCGATAAATAATTTAATTCGCCGTTTCAGAAATTTATAAATATTTAAATTTAAAGCTGGAAAATTTCAATAAATGCGTGCAAGATTTCTGAGGAACGGAAGAGAAACTGCAAAATAAAAGAAAATTTAATTTTCGAAAACATACATTAGAAAAAGAGGGAAATTGGGCGAGGATCCCGTGCGAGATGGTCCGTACAGATCTATCGTGGAGGAAGTAATCGTGGCCGTTGGTTTTGCATTGGGACGGTGGAGAGTGTGGTGAGTGTTGTGGGGTCCAGTTTTAAGATAAAGACAAATTGATTATAGTGAGGTAGGTCTCGTTCGTTAGACTTTGTATTAAATTTGATCTTTTTTGGGGAATTTTGACCAACCCCTAATCTGTACACCACGACGTGCCATCTAACACCATGGATATGCTGAGATTCCTACATATATATATATATATAGTCACTGTTTTGATACATGGTGGAAGAATCTTTCTACCCTTTTTTACATATTTTTCACGTTTAGAACTCAATTTTTCAATTTAGATAACGTAAGATGCGATAATGATTCATTCGTTATATATATAATTAATCCGCCTTAGATAAGCAACGAAGCTAATGTGAAGATCTGAAACGGTGAGTTGAATTTGATGGAGGTTCCAATCAGAATCTGAAACATCTCCTACGAGTTAGGAGAAAAAGACTCCGGCCTTTGGGTTAACTTATGTCCGAAGTTGCCATCCTCATCTCCAGATTCAGCCACAGCAGACGCATTCAACACATACATATATATATATATATATATATATATATATATGTGTGTGTGTGTTATTGTCTTTGAAAAATAATAATTAAGAAGGGGAATGGAGGAGATAATGGTCCCCCATAATCCTTCTGCAGCTCAATGTAGGATGCGTCTAACTTTAGTTCATGTCACGACGGCGTTGAGTTGGTTTCTTCTAATTTAATACACGACTGGAAGCTGCAATGTCAGATCATGAACACCATGCTACATATAAACAATAACATAATCACATGTCGTTTTCATCATTCCATTGGATTACATTTTAATAATTATACCCTTAGTTTTTTTTTAAAAAAAGATGCAAGTATATATATATATATATATTGAGTTTATTTTACAGGAATGGAAATTCAGATACGGTTAGAGAGAGAAGCAAGCCCAAAGAAGCAAAATCATAACTTTATTACCAAAAAATATTTTATTTCATCCTACGAAATAATAATAACAAATAAATAAATAAAATAAGACATTTTTGTGAAGAAATCAAGACCCAAGAAAAAGAGCTGCTGTGTTGTGTCGGGGATGAACCGAGCAAACCTCGAGGATGGCTGGCTCCG